TGTAGCCCAGCCCATAGCCCCTTTCCCAGCACCACCACCACCCACTCTGTCCCTGCCCGGAGCACAGCCCTGGTGCAGCCCCCGAGCCCACAGTGCGCAGCCTGCCCTCGCTTTGTGCACTGATCTTGGGGGCACATGCTCCCATGCCTCCCCCAGGGGTGCATGCAGCAGCAGGAGCCCCCGGTCCCCCAGACAAGCTGCCTGCATCTCCTTCCTGCGCCCTGCCCTGCTCTAACTGGGCAGCGCCTGTCCCAGCTCCACTCCCTCCCTCACCATGGGGGCCTTGATCTGTCCCCCCACATGCTCCTTCCCTTCCCCCGCCCCTTCCCCCCAACAGACTTACCAGCCAGATGCTGCTTTCCAAACTGCAGGGCTGCATATTGGCAGTTGGATCAGTGTCAGCTGATATGGATGGTTAATAACTGCCCATCAGTATCAGCCAAAAAAATCTTTATCGGTGCACCCCTAATGAGAAGGAAACCGAGCAGCCAAGCACTTTTGGAAGGGTGATCGCCAGGGATCTGAGTTTCCCGTTTCCCATAGGAAAATGGAGAAAAACATGGATTTCCCCCTTTACCAGACGAAAACACAGATTTTTCATTTTAGTGGAGAAACCCATGGGTTTTGCAAAGAGCTCTCTGCAGGCTGGCAGAGTTCCAGACTGCAAGGGGCTGGGAGGGAGCGGGAGGATGGTGGTCAGGCAGGGGGCACCATGTGCATGTTACATGCACTTGGCCCCAGGCAGCCTGGAGAGCAGCTCCTGCAGGTAAGTGGTGGGGGACACACGATTGAGGCCCTCATAGGGAGGGAGGGAGTTAGGAAGGACTGGGGCTGCTGCCCAGGTGGTGGGGGGCATAGGGCTAGGGGCCCGGGGCTGCAGTGCGTACCCGAAGCCCTGGTGGGTAGCAGGATGGGACCGCAGGCAGCTCATCTGGGTGGAGGGGAAGGGGGAACTGCCTCCCTGCTGCTGCGCGCACTCCCAGAGAGCAGGGGAACCTGTGCCCCCCAGATCTGTGTGGGGTGGGGCCAAGCATGAGCTGCTGTCTCAGGCTCCTGTCCTGATGCCCTCCTTCGGGGCCTCCATTGCCCAGCGGGTACAACCCAGTCCTGCAGGGCAGAACGGGGCCACATAGAAAAGCCGCTTGCCTCTACTAACTCTGCACTACCCTGACAACACATTCCCTGTGCACACAGCAGCAGCAGGGGTGATGGTGCAGGGTTCTGCCCCTTGCTGTGCCATGCACAGGGGATGTGCAGCCAAGGCAGTGCAGAGCTTGCAGCAGCAAGCAGCTTTCCTGCGCGGCCTCACTCTGCCCTGCAGCGCTGGGTCACACCTGCTGAGCAGCAGCGGCCCCAAGGGAGGGCAGCAAGGCGGGAAGCCTGAGCCTGCAGTAAGCAGCCCATGCCTGCCCCACACACAGGTCTGGGGGGTACAGGTTCCCTCTGACCGCTAGGTCTGCACGCAGTGGCGGGGAGCCAGCTTCTCCCCCTGCCCGAGCCAGCAGCAGGAGGGCGGAGAGGGGAAGAGGGGCAGTGCTCTGTGCTCCACTGCAGCAGTTGCTGCCTTCTGTTGGAGGCAGGGGGCTGTGGACCTGGGTCCCTGGCCGCATAGCCTTGACATCTGGGGGCCCCTCTGGCAGGGCTGTGGGTGGAGTGAGGGGTAGGTACGAACAGGGCCAGGGGGCTGTGGGGGGAGGGGAGTGAGGAGCACCAGCAGGGCCAGGGAGGCTGGGGGTGGGGGGAGTGATGGGCCTTTCAGTTTAATCATGGATTTTGGGGGTTTTATCAGAGAATTTGTGATTTTAGGGAAAAGCAGGATCCCCGGTGATCACCCTTAGGAAGTCTTGCCTGCTTGTAGCACAGTTCTGAATCCTAATGCAAAACTCAAAGATCTTGTATGGCCCAGTTAGATACCAAGGTGTAGTGGATGGCAGTTCTGACGCCCCAGTGGCTTACCAGTGAGGTAGTGCTGAGTAGTATTCCATGGCAGAGCTTTCCTTGGAAACTTAACCAGTTTTTTCCCTTCAGCAACTAGCTGTTTCTCTCATGTTCATACATGTGCTGTGCTACTGTCAGCAACCCTATACCCTCAAGAGCCACCACACTGCTGCTGGCAGAAGTAAGATCAATTTCTGCACTAAGGCAAAACAAATAAGAGCAGTAATAATAATAATGATGATGATGATAAAACTGCCAGGCACCTGGGAGAAAGGACAAGAGCATCTATCTTTTGTCTTATAGTAACCATTCCATTCCTCTTGGTGAGGTAATAAAGGTAGTCAAGGCATTGATGTGAATAGAATGAAAAGAGAGGGACTGGGAAAGGGTGACAGCTGAGGAAGCGGTATGTAAAAGGAAATGAAAAACTTAAAAATGACGAATGGGGAGAGAGAGAGAGGAACTAAAAGGTAAGAAAATACACTTTGCTTAGTAAAATGTTTATGTACATTGAAAAATTCATAAGGATGAGTACAAGTTGGCACAGTCCATATGAACTAATGTAGAATTCACATTTAATTCTACATAAATTCATTCCCTATTATCTATTCATTGTGAATAGAATTCACATTAGATGCCTTGGCCTCCTGATGAGGTGTCAGTGCAGCTTAGTGCTCCAGAAGTTACACACTATTGTTGCATAAAAAAACCTCTGAAATAACTATAGGGTAATGTAGCAAGCTTTTTAAAATAATAGAATATTAGGGTTGGAAGTGACTTTAGGAGGTCATCTAGTCCAACCAGCTGCTTGAAAGCAGGACCATCTCCAACTAGATCATCCCAGTCAAGGCTGTGTCTAGCTGGGTCTTAAAAACTCCAAGGAAGGAGATTCCACAACCTGTCTAGGTAACATATTCCAGTGTTTTACTATTCTTCTAGTGAGAGTTTTTCTTTCTTAATAGCCGTTTGTTTGGCACTTGCATATAAAATAGTTGAGAAGCTTCTTGGATCTCTCTGTGCATTCCTAAAAGAATTTGCAGACCAGTACTGAAACCATGAGACAGGTATTTGCCTCTGTATCTTCCTTGTTTTTTTCACCGCTATATGCTGATAACGTCTTACAAGTGCAAGTGGTAAAGAAATTTATCAAGAGAGATGATAAATATTGATGTGCATTTATAGCTAAAGATTTTTAAATGCTTTGTCAAGTCTACTAATTGTGTACCTGTAGGATGGAAGAACAGCCACCTGTGGGATGGGGATGAATTGTGACAAACACATTAACAATGCATAATCAAGTTACACAACCAGTTAAAGCAGGAAGTGAGGAATACTGTGTTTTCATTGAAGTTATAAATGGAATTATTCAGAATGTAATTCCGAGAGTGGAATTTGGCCAGAATACTAGTGATGACACCTCTTTATTCTATGAAAGCTGTGTTGGCATCTCCACTGACACATTTTTGGTTTTATGTCTCTGTTGAGAGATTTGCACCAACCACTTAGTGCCTTCAGTACTATAATAGGGGCTTAGATTGAATGGGTCTTTGTACAACAACTTGTTTTTATCTCTTACCCTTCCATCCAAATACAGGGCTTGCTTGACTTAAAGGATCTTGGGTAGTATGGTAGAATGGCTGTAGGGCATGGGGAGCAAAAGATGAAATCTGTTATCTTCAGCTGCTTCTTGGTAATTAAGTTAGCAATTATGTTTGTTGTGCATGATATAATTTTCTCTTTCAAACTTATTCAAGTAACTTCCAGGTAGACTTTGTTCTTCCCACAGGAATATACTTGATGCAGTTGTGCTGGGCACAAACAGTGCAGTTTTGTGTTTCTATGTGAGCTGTGTGGTTTTAGTTATCTTCTGTGTTTTTCCTTTTTGTCTTGTCCCCTGTAGGTTTATCCAGGTAAACCACATCACAGGTCTGTATCACTGAATGGCTTTGGTAAATAACTGCCTTTGTGTTTTTTTAGAAATGACTTGCTAAATTGTAAAGATGCTTTTCAAGGTTTACACCTTTTAAATCTGTTTTATGCTTACTTGCTTTTTCACTAGTTTGATATGGTGACTTGCATACTATATTGGTAGTTATCTTTGTTGATATGAACTAATTTGAAGTTCCTGTTGCCAAAGTTCGGTCCTTAACTTATTAGGAGATCCTTCTGGCTGGTAAAGTTCACTAGTTCCCACAGGACAACTGTAGGAACTAGTGAAACATGTTAGGATTGGAGCAGAAGCATTTAGACCAGGTTTTTTTAAAATGATTAGTGTTTTGGGGGTTTTTTGTTTTTGTTTTTGCATGGCCTAGTTTTGGGGTGCCCAACTTGAGACAGCTTTGAAGCCTGATTTTTTTTTTTTGGGGGGGGGGGGGGGGGGGGGGTTCCCCCCCCCCCTCTCCCCTTACCATGTGTGTGGTGCCCTCCTGACCTCAGTGCCCTGGGTGGTTGTTCACATCGACCACCCATAAGGCTGGCTTTGTGAGGGAGCATAACTGTAAAGGCACCAATTAGTAAGCTCTTGCTGCATGGCCCCTGGCTTATACCGATCAGGAGGGTGAGCTGATCAATCAGAGGAGACAGCTTTGCAAAGTGTCAGTTTTTGTCCATAACAAATTCTACTGTTCCCTTTCTAAATAATAGATATGTCTATGAAAGTATTTACAGCATGTATTCCGTATGTGTGTCTGCATACTGATGATCCTTTTTAAAAGCTGAGGTGACTTTATGGGGCCTGAGCTTCAGATGTAGGTACTTGGCACTTCTCAACCCCATGACGATTGGGCATTGCAGATGCTCAACACCTGTCAAACACAGTTCTCCAGTATTTGTGGTCTTGCTTCCAAAAGTGTTCAAGCTAAATAGGTGGCCTGATTTTTCAGAGAGGCCAGGCAGCTTCTGTTAAAGTCAGTGGGTTGATGGTGGCTGGCACTGCTGATATTCAGGCACCCACGTTCAGAAATTCAACTTTGTATTTCTGTCTAAAATAAACCAGAGAACTGTAGAAAAATAACTTTTATTTACTGTTTTCATCTGAATGCTTTTTCTTTCACATTTTTAAGCTTTTCTACACTTGGAGAAGAAAGAGCAGCAAAAGATGGTCATTGATCCACCATCTAAAGGGTCAAGAAAAAATTACTCTTTCACAAATGAGGAAGTAAAACAAATTGATCGGGAAAACCAAAGGCTCTTAAAAGAACTGTCCAGACAGTCTGCAAAGCCAAGGAGCAAAAGTGCCGCAATGAAGAAGTCTACTCTCCCACCTCCTAAGTTATACCACAGTGCCCTCAACAGGCAAAAGGAACAGCAGAGGATTGAAAGAGAGAATCTGGTAAGTTATGAAGTATTATAGTTTTGGATCGGTGAAGTGGGAAAGACTACCTATTTGATGCTAACCAAGCTATTAAAAGAGTATTTGAAGCATCTCATTAGAATTTTTTTCAATTTTATTGTGGGAAGTTGTGGCGGTTGAGTGGCTTGCGGAGCTATGGCCAGTAGCCCGAAACGGCAGGTGGGTACTTTTGACTGATGGAGCGGAATTAGGCACCAGAGCGTATTGGTTGAAACAAGATCGTTTACTTACACCGTCGATGGGCACAGTACAGGTAGAGAAACTGGCTTAGGTTACGGTTACAAATGCGACGAGAGCTCTTTGACACAAACGAAACGAGACGTCGGTGAACGGCTTATCGAGCATGCAGGGACGGGGTACGTCAGGTAAGTCGGTGATGGGGAGTCGTTGGTGGGTGATCAGTCCACCAAGTCTACTCCGAGGTGTATGCAGAGTTCTCCAACTTGGGCTGAAACTGCTTTAACTTTTATATGGTCCGTAAGCCAATTACTAGTCACCAGGTAGGAATAATTTGGAACCAGCCAATGGGTGGCACATGTTCAAACTATGCAGCCGTTGGACTTGGCAGGATTTTCCCCTGTGCTGGAATTTTTCCACTATGATGTAATAGCGGAATTTCCCACTGTGGTATAGGCACCAAATCAATGGAATTTTCCACTGTGCCATAGGCATTCAATTGCTGGGTTCTGACAGAAGTCTGCAATCATGATGTTGATGTATCATAAATTATACTGATACATCAGGGACAGGAACTGAAAAATGTTAGGAATATGGAATAATATCTAGACACTTGCATGCCACTATAGCATGTGAATGCATAATATTCATGTATATTTGATAGAAAAATGTACCTTTCCTTGATAAAAATGGAACTGTTTGCAGGATGTGAAATGCATTTAAAATGATACAGCATTGGTGTCTTGTATCACTGTTCCATCTGAGGGGAATAACAGCTTCTGTGTTAACTCTAGTCAATATACCGTATCACCATTCTAATTCAACAAGTACAATTTCTTTTTCTTTAAGGCCAGGAATGAAGAAGAAAAAAACTTGAGCAATGAAACCCATTAAACACATGAAGAGCAAAATTTAAACTATCAGAAATAACTGAGTGTATAGCTAGCAGTCATTTTCAGTAACTCTAGCGCTCTCCTACTCCCATCATGTTGAAGCTGTATGGTAACAATGGTAACTTATTTTAGTGGCAAAGAGAAATTTAGTTTTAATTGTAATGTGGCCGTTGATAAGAATAGTCAAATAATAAATGCATAGAAGTACAATTTTAGTTTATAATGACTATCATAGTGTTAGGTATTAGTGAAAATTTTGACACAAGACCTGTTTTATAATAGACGTTTACAGCCCAGCAGGTTGGTTTTTTGACTAGTACTTTTGCCAGGCCTTGCACCATGATCCTTGCCTCCAGGGCAGCTACAGGTTTGGGGAAAGCTGTTCTGTGATTCCTTTGGAAGCTGACTTTCAAGCACTCCACCAAGTGCTCTTGCAAATGATTGAAGAAGAAAAAAAGGTTACTCACCCATTTTGTAGCTTGTTCTTGGAAATGCATTTTATGTGGCTGTTCCACATCCTGCCCTGCAAAGATGCAAAGATCCTGTCTCTTATGGAGTCACACTTCATGTTGAAGGAACTAAGGGAGCCTCAGGGCAACTCTGCCCTTTATAGCCTTAGAATGGAGGCAGGAGGAATTATGTGCGTCATTCATGGCCCCAGTGGTTCATGCTGCAAGGAATTATTCTAACTTGTGTGCAGACCTTCAGTGCAAAGGGGTATGACATAGCTAGTGTTCTGCATTTTCATTTTTTTTATTTTCAAAAAAAAGTTCCGGTAATTTTTTCAGGGTTTATCTTCCAAACATAAAAAAGGGTTGAAATAGGGATAAAAGGAAGAAAAGCAAAAAAATCGGTTTAAATTGGGGAAAATAATAAATTTTGTGGGGGTGGAGGCTAAGCATACGTGCTTGCACATGCACATCCCCCCCAGATGGGAAAGTCTTGGTGGGGGGGGGAGGAGAGGAACCCACCAGCCCCGGCTGTCTCCCTGCACTAGTCCCAACCCTGGCCTCGCACTGCCTGGGGGGCCCAGAACAGGTGGGCTGGGGTGGGGCCAGCCTCAGCTGCACTGCTGGGCCAGAGGCAACTGAGCCCATGGGAACCCTGCACCCACCCTGCCAGGCACTGCCTAGCCCCAGGGCAGGACATGATGGGACAGAGCTGTGGCTTGTTCAGGGGGCGCAGGGAGGAGGTGGCAGCTCCCACTGCTGCACAGGTCCCAGGAGGCATGGGGGGCTTGTGAAAAATGCATGTAAATCAGTGGAAACCAAATAACTTCAATAAAAAAAAAAATCAGGTAATTTATCGGTGAAATTAGGTAAAAACCGAAAATGTAGAACACTATACACAGCTCAAGCAACAGCAGTCACAAAATGAGAGAGTATTTCATTCTCATGGCTGCCTTTTTCTAGTTTTACTCCCCACAGATGTCCAATTTTTCCATTAGCTGTTTGATCCTCTGTTTGTGTAAGTGAGGACTGGTTAATCATTTTTGGCCATCTGTTCAGATTGCAGGCTGCTGTCTGAATTAGCAAGAAAAATGTAACTTGCCAGCAGAGGACACTCTTGATTCACAAAATGCATTGCTCTTGGAAGTCGGTCATCTTTCTCTCCCTCAACCTATTTTTGCCTAATGGAAAGAGAAACAGAATGTTACTAATGTTAGATTTATTTTTTTAATATCTGCTGGCATATAGCTTGATCTGTCTTGACATAAATGAATCCACACGTTTTGTGTACCTAGGTATATAGTACACATGCATAGGCTTGGCATGTATTACGACACCTTACAAACCTTTAGGTTGTTTTGTGATGTAAAAGCTACTAGTATGCATATATGTGTATTTAGGGACCTCAAAACTCAAGCGTACAAGTACTTAACTTCCCAGTCTCTGATTCATTTATGCATAGGTTATGATTTGTCACAATTAAGTCATTGCCATTGATAATTATTAGGCTACCCATGAGACCATATTACCAGTAGATAAGCAAACAATATAATTTAAATTGCATTGGAAGCTTCAGGGGACTGGCCCGAAAATGAACCAGTGTGTTTTTTGACATCCTTAGAAGTGATTCTTTTCAAAACTGTGTTCCCATATACCAAGGGAGGACAGTGTGGAATAACTTTCATTACTACTGATCACAGGTGTATAAGTGTTCTTTTTATCAGAACTGATATGCAGAGTACTTCTGTAAACAAATTATTTTGGATACTTGTCCTGAGATATTTGCAGTCTAATTTAGGCAGATAATACACTGATAATATAGCATAATAACTAGAGGGCAGGGAAGATGAGAAGTAATAATGTCATGTTAACATAGGTATTTGGATGGTGTTTATATTAAGTGTTTTTCTTGTAAATAATACATTGCTTTTGGGCTTTTGGGCTGTTTTACTTTTTGCTAGTAGGTAGAACAGGAGGAGGTAGCCCGATTCTTACACTGGAAAGCCAGACAAAGGCAATTTTTTTAGATATTTTACAAAAGAAAACATTGTCTCATGAACAGAAGACAAACTTTTGTGGATGTTGAGGGGAGCGTGGATTTGGAGACAAATGTATGAATAGGAGGGGAAAATAAAGAGGAGCAAGTAAAATATACATTGTAGTAGGGGAAATGCAAGGAGGAATTCTTGAGGTGTAGATTCTTGAAAAGAGTGCTTATCAACTCTTTCAGACTCAAGGCACTCTTTCATAACTTTTCTGAAGTTAGCAGCCCCCAACTAATTTCACTTGTTTTTTTACTATAAAAAAATAATAGACTAATTCTTCTCTTGTGAGGAACTCAGACTACAACAGGTCAGAATATTTTTGGCACTATGGATTCCTATTTGAAACCTCTAGGTTTATCTTGGGTAGGTGTTTGCACACTTAACAGCACTAATACTGCATAGCACCCCCCAGCACCCTTAAAAGGATCTTGTGAACCCCAGTAGAGAATCCTTGCTTGAGAACAAGGATTAGGAGTTTGAAATTTGGGAATAGAAGGCCAGTAAAAGGTGACATTGCTGAGAGTCTGTTTTTTCTCTTGCATCATTTTGGGGATGCTGGACAAGAATAAACTGAAAATAGAGACGATCCTAGACCTTTAAGTTATATGTATATATGAGAGAGACTGACACTGCTCAGTTGGCTCATTTATCCCTATCTGTCTTGGGGGAAATAGTAACAGAATGTGTTTGTCATCACAGGAGAAAGTAATTTTCTAGTGTCTTGAAGAAACTCAGAAGATTACATGCAGACAGAACCTCAGAGGCTAGGACACATGGGAATCTTTCTAGCACCTTGGAATTGAAGTATCTTTACTTTCTGAAACAAGATTGATTTGAACTTGATGATATAATAAAAAGCTGTGGTTAAAGAGAACTTTGTGACAAAAGTCCAGTATAGATTCTAGTGGCTCTGATCATTCGAAATAACCTCTCTACCCCTCAGAGGAAGGAGTCTCAGCTACAACCTCCTTCTTGATCAGGAAAAAATACCTGGATATTGGATTGCTATACTTGTCCCTGAATCCCTGCCACAGACAAGAGAGTCAGTGACATGTTTTGTTAAGTTAGACAATGGATCTGTATAGGATAATTTGGATAAGGATCATTCTGCCTCAGGCAGTGGAGTTGAACTAGATGAGCTCTTGAGGCCTCTCCCAGCCCTACTTCTCTCTGATTCTATGAACTAAGAAAAAGTATACCATCATAGCATTTAGTTAGACTGTAAGCTCTTTGCAGCGGGGACCATTTTTGTACAGATCCTAGTTCAGGACTAGTGGTCCTAAGTTCATCAATAGAACTTATAGTAATTATGGACTGGCTAAATGCACTGCCATATACACTGTCCTCAGGAAACATTTTCGTTATTTAGGGCAGGGGTCAGCAACCTGTAGTCTGCAGGCTAGATCTGGCCTGCAAAGGTCCAATCTGGCAAGGGGGTGTGGATCAGAGGCATATAGCAGTGACCTGCTGCCCATCTCTGCCATGCAGCCTTCCGTGCTGTTCTTTCACACGTGTACTTAACTTTCACTGCAGAATTCTCTTTTCTGTTGGGGGTGGGCGTCAGTGTTGAGGATAAGCACAGATGGCTTGGCCATTCCAGGGTGTTGAGATTTGGCAATGAACATAGACAGACCAGGTTGCAAGTGGCAGCCCTTGGTGGCAAATGGTTGCTAAGCCTCAGTTTAGGATATCTGACCGGTTGTCTTTTTTTGCTTATGCTGCTGCTTTCCCCTCAGCTTTGTCATTCAATTTCTTGGTGGATCTTGATCAGAAAAAAAAGTCTTTCTAGAGTCCAGCTAGTCTTATGGTATGTGGAAGAACCCTGGATTGGGTTTTACAACTTACAATTAATGCATTTAAAATTATGTAATATAGCCATAACAATGGAAGAAAGTTAGAAATCCATCCTGGCACAAGAACAAAAAGACATCCTTGAATTCACTATTATCATCTTTCTTCTCTGCTCTGCAAAAGGATAGTGTAGCTCTAAAGAATGAAATTAGAGAAGGCATAGTATAAATAAATTTGAACAGCTGTTAAGGCATGATGGTCAGCTGTTTGGGACTCGCATACAGTCTAGAGTTCAATGGATGGTGAAAGTGAAGCCTGTACAAGCACCTAAGAGCAACATAAAACAAGGAAAATAATGTTGTAATCTTTACACTGAATGTTCTGGGAGGAGGTATTTGTTGTTACTTGGGAGTTTTCTCCCTTTCAGAGAAAAGGCTTCAGAGAAATGTTTACTGAAGAAAAGTGCTGAGACTTGTGCTTTCTTATTTTGTTAAACACACTGTACTACTAGCATTCACTTTAAGCCACTAAATAGCAACAATCTCTTACATTGTTTTTATTACTGTGTTCCCCATTTGAAAAGAATGTTTGCTTCAGTTTCTGGGGTTGCTGGCAGATGTTAAGGCAGTCACGTGACTGGGGTCCAGGGACTTTTATGCCCCATTCCCAGAATCAGGTGACCTGCCATGCCATATATGGATGGGGGGATAGGAATGGTGCATAAAATTCCCCAGAGCCCAATTACATGACTGTCAGCTACTAGGTCTCCACCATGCTGATCCTGACAATCAGCTGATCATTGGGATTGAGCAGGGGGCAGCACCAAGTCCAGGACATAGCAGCCCTGTGGCTGATCCCTGAGATCAGGCAGAGGGCATCTCTAGGCCCCAGACACAAACCAGGGCTGCCCCTTGCCTGATCCCAAGGGTATGGTTTCCCACAACCCGATAGGCTTGTTGCTTGCCCTGCTGTCCCCTCAGGAGCTCCAGGGCAAAGCTTTTTAGTGTGTAGAGAGCCCCAGGGCTCCCCACCTGGTTCCAGACCATTGACAATTATCTGGTGGTTGTCATCTGGATGGGGCAGCCCTGGGTCTGGCACATGCCACACATTTGATTTATGACTTCATACAAACCAACCACAACAATGGCTTATCATGTGTCATGTTCATCATGCTATAAGTGTAAAATATATAATAACATTGATATTATTTTTCAGGGGAGGGGGGATAACAGGGCAGTGCATCAAGTTGCTAAGTACTGACCTAATCCTGTTGATTTAAGCCTAACAATGGTAGGCTAAAATGGTATCAGCTGCAACACATGGTTTTAAGAGCAATTAGGGCTATTAATTAATTTTAAAATGTGGGGGATGTGGATATTTCTCTTTGACCTTGGATTCTGGTCAGGACTATGACCTTTATGCCAAAAACGGTTATTGTGCAGGGTCTGATCCTGTAAATGTGGAAGTCAGTAACAAGACTTCCAATGATTGCAGTAGTATAGGATTGAGGCCACAGAGACTGAACCCTGGGGAAGAGGCAGGAATTGTAATAGAATTATTCAGGGCATTTTTCAGGACACTCTCTCAAAGAAAACATTATCTTAAAACTTGAGAGATTTAACTACACAATTGAAAGAAAATGCAGTTTACCATCTGTACGCGAGTACATGCTTAGTGAGGGACTTGAAGGATTATAGAATTGGTAGTAAAATGAGCCATTTGGTTCTTGGTCACTGATTCAGTAGGTCAGGCCTGCCATTTCAAATGTACTGGAGGGTTCATTTCCGCATGCAGTAGGCCGCTGTCCAAGAGTCAGAATCCTAGCTGCAAATGGCACTGTTGCTTTGATACAGTTCTCAGCAGAGACTTTTTATTCTTCCCTCTCTTAGCAGAGAGCTCCTTAGGAGTGATAGAAGTTGCTGTTGTCACCACAAAATGTGTACCTGTCTTGTATATAACAGAGTTTAAATGCCCAGTACTATTAATCTGTCTTTTTTCGGTTGTAAATCTTTTTTTTTTTTTTCAGCTATAAATCTCTAGAGTTCAGAGGGGTTTTTTGTCCTTAATGAACGATTAACCTTTTCTAAATACTTGCATAAAATGGTGACTAGTTGTTTTGTTTGTTTGTTTGTTTGTTTTGCAGGGGAGGGGGTTATACATGTGTCGAAAGTAATTCTATATTTTTTCCTTTAAATCTTGAATAATATGGGCATGTGGAGTAAATAAATATATTAAGAAGCTTAGGGCTGCCTGCATTTGCATGATATTTCTGGTATGTAAGCTGCACAAAGACTTTATAAATGGAATTTAGGCTCACTGCATGCTTCCCTTTCAACAGGTGAAAAATGTCCGGTCCTTTAAATTAGCCTGCCTGCATACACTGTCAAAGTAAAAGTTTTAGGATTAGTGAATGTGAATGATTAATTTAGATTTCCTGTTACAGATCAAGATTCCTATAATTGAATAGGAGAGATGGTGGCAATATTGGCTCTAGCATATAAAGGCTAGTCTAACATGTCATGTTTTGCAGCGGGCTTTAAGCAGGAGCTATTTCTAGCTGAAGTCCTTCCTTTGACTTTTGCTTACCAAGGTATTTCCACTTGACGATGAACTAACTGGCACTTATTACAAGCACATGTGACATACTGCATCAGAGCCAAAATGACTTGTCCTCTCTTGTGCTCTCTCAATGTACGTTTCCAGGTTCCCATACGCAAACTGCTGTATGTTCGCAGGCTTTAATTGCAGTCACACTGTGACAGGTGACAACTCATGACTCTTCTATATCTTCTCCAGCCGGTTGCTACAAAAGCAGTTTGCAAACAATAATACCCCCCCCCTTTCAGGTTGTGGGTTGCTGTTTTTTTGTTCTTGAGGAAGAATAAAGTAAAACTTTATAGTTTATACTGATGAATAAGATAGCATGAGAAGTTAATGCGTAAAAAATACCATCCTTCCAACTAGGGCTGTTGTAATACTTTGGAGGCTTCTCATTGCATTCTGCCGTGTACCAATTGGTAGCATCTGTGTCACAGCCCTACCCGGTGGTGGTTGTGTCACTGTCAAACAGTGCATTCATGATTGTCAAGCCAGAGGTTAGCTAGCTAGCTGAGGAGAGTGTCCAAGTCCCATGAATTTCAAGAACTGAAGGTGAAGAGTGTTAAAATTACAAAGATGCTAAAATAACTTCTTACCCATGTTTATTTGGGTCCCTTTGCCTTTTAATTTACAAAAAAAGTGTCCTTGTTTTAAAATTACGGAAGTGTCTTAATCTGGGCTTCCTAGCTTGAGTTTGTTATAAAGGATGTTGGAAGTGTTTGTACTGTATTAATATTGTGCGTGCGCCTGTCTGCTCCTGATGCATTTAACTTTTTCTGTAACTAAATAGCAAGCATAATCAATGTTTATGGAAAATGGACAATAACTTTAGAAGACCTTCTGGGCCCCTCTTACCTTACTGGAAGGACACTACTGATATCAATATCCACTTTGAAGTCAGCCTTTTCCCTCCTGAGGTCAATAGACTAACTGGTGGTACAGGCCCTCTTGAAGGGCTACATAAAATTGTTTAATCAAATTCAGAAGATGCAGAGTCGGGCAAAACTTTTGGATGGATAAAAAAGATAGTCCTTGAAGAACAGATAAAGGCAGAGATGGCAGAGGTTCAGCCTGTCTTCCTGTCATTCCCTCCTCTTTCCTGCCATAGAAGGACACAACAATATTCTAACAATGTTGTGAAAAGCATAATTTTGTGGTTTAAAATATAGTTATATTCCATATATAATTAAAAGAGAGAACAAAACTCCAAACCAATGATGTAGAACCATAGGTTGGTCACCAGTGAAGTGATTCATATCGATTCTAGAGCAAATGCTTAATTGTAGAATGTTCTGGTTTGTACAAATCTGATCATTTTTGTGCATGTTTATAGCTCTTAATCCTTTCCATTTTCAAGGGGGAGGAGTGCATGAGAGCACACACACACACATTATATCTGCCTTTAAAAATTGGGGGTTTTTTTCTTCTCCAATTAAGGCTCTTCTGAAGAGACTGGAAGCTGTGAAACCAACAGTGGGTATGAAACGTTCAGAGCAGCTGATGGACTATCAGCGCCAGATGAATTATCTAAGTTCTTCACCATCTGCAAGACGAGGAAAGTCTGCATTGAGCCATCTTAGCCCTTCAAGTAAGTGACTTTAAGATGGTATGCCCCTATGTTAGATGTTTTTACTCTGTCCCTGACATGAGGATTCTAAAATAATGGTAATCTTGAATAATAATTAATTTTTTTTTCAATAGATTAATCACGTGGTGGGAGGGGGGGAAGAAACATCTTAGCACCATAATTTATCTTCTTCATCCCTACACTCTATCAGGTTCTTTTGTTAATAACATTTCCGCTGCAAGATTGTTTGTTTCCTTTACAGCATATGTTCAAGTCCTTTGTTGGTGATACTTTTAAACTACTCAAAATGTTGGTTTTCTCTTTAGTTTTTGTGACATTTCCCAGAAACCATGGCGATGGCTGGTATAATAATGATTATAATAATAAGCCACCTACTACAGCTAAGATGCGATTTATTTGATCTCTAACAGGAGGAACTTCCAGAGCATCCAGTGTACCCAGTGCCATCAGTCGTAGGAGTGAGAGACCAGTTTCTGATTCATCCAGTGGGGCATTACAGAGACCTAAGCCCACTAACGTTCGTGCTGCTTGGTTATGAATTATTTCTACTTAGCCTAACATTCTTATTTGATCAGCAGATTTCGATTTCTAATGCTTTTGTAAATTCTTTGTGCCAGAATATTGTAATCTGCATCATTTGGTGATTAAAGTGCACTGCAGTATGATGTAATTTCTTGTAAATTTGGTTTTAAATGGAAAATTTATTTCTAATCAGTGTTTTCCAAAAAGACTATATTTATAAAAGAGAGGCATTTAACAGACAACTAGAAATTGCACAAACCTTTATTTTATTCTCAAAGCACAAATGAAGTTCATATGTGATGCTAGAATGATATAGTTGCTGCATCTGGGACCCAAGATGTAAAACAAAAATCCAGTTGTTTTTGTTTTAATTTTTAAATTGCAATAAACTGTCAAGCATGTACTTTACTCCTGAATTGTCCTAATTGTTCATTCTTATTTAAAGTTAGCCTTCAGAACTTGTAGGTCAATTAATGGTAGATCAGAAATGCTCCTTTTTATTGCTGTCTCCAGGACAGCTTTTGATAAAGTAAATGTGTAAGTTCTGTTTTTCTCCATTGATGTGAATAGAGTTTATAATTCAGAGAGGTGGAGACAAGACTCTTTGTAACAGCAGAAGTCTTCATGGTTAACTAGCAGTCGCACCACTTCTTTTATGTGGCAGTGTTACAATATTGAAGGTGCTGGGTTTATTTTCTGATACTATTGCAGATCTCTCTTGCTCTGTATCAAATAGCATTCATTCAGGGTTGGAAGTGAAACTTTTCCGTAACTTAAAGGAAGTTTATTAGATTTCTGGGAAAGGAAGGACCTGATGTATTGGATGGAATCATATGTTGGGTAGGAGAACAAATTTCAAGTACAATGCAGTTGAAACCTGTTAGCTTCAGTGTGTCAGTGCCCTGATGCTATGTTGCTCCTAGGTGGCTGTTGCTCCTATAGTGAGAGTCATCTGAATATGTGGTAGATAAGAGCCCCTGGGAAGTGTCTGTTGCTTTCATCAGGTACTGCTGCAAAGGGGTGTCTGCTGGACTGGTATAAACTGTTCCCCAGCCTGGGTATTGGACAGCATCAGGGCCTTGATTGGTACTATTTGCAAGCCTCTGCATATTCCTGTTAGTGGGTATAACTAACAGGAGCTACAGGAGATAAAAATGAGATGTTATTCTCATTAACTAAGTGCAACTGCCACCCAGGATTAGAAAAGAGGGCTAAGTAGAACCTTGGGGATGAATCTGAAGTTTTGCTCTTCTGACCTACATTTTTAATGTTATGCTAATGCTGAGTCCCTGGAGATGTTTCAGACCAAACATGGCATCAGTATGCATGTATCCAATGTAAAGCTTTCATGGAAGTACTAGTAGAATGCAGTATGTGATGTAGTTTATTTCCATAGCTAAAGGCAAAACTTTCACCAAGCTTTTTTAATTGCTGGCTGCAGGAGTTTTTCATTAACAGCATGAATTATTATATGACTGTCCATAGTTACTACTATACTTCTGCTTGCTCTCCCCACTCCTTCCTGTGGAAATACTGGGAGTCCTTTTGTGTTAAACATGAAGAAAAAAAAGCTTTGTTAAATAATGTTGAGACCTAGACCTACAAGAACCAAGCTCATTTTTCTCCCCTGTGCTTGTCAAAGGGGCATGAAGTTCTTAATATTTAATATTGTTGTCACTTGATACAAAGCATCATGCATTGTCATGGTCCTCTCTGATAACTTGATGAATTGTACAGGCTAAAGAAGCTGACTTTTGTGAATTAAATTTAGATCCTTGACAGTATTTTAATTCCATTTTTTAAACTTTTAAGAGTTGTGTGGCAAACAGCTGTCAATGAAATACTATTGTTCTTTTATCGAAACTGTAATGTATTTTTTGTATAGTGCTGCTGTAATTTGTACTAATGTGATGATTAAAAGTATTCACCATTTAAAGATTTTGATCTTGAATGTGAATATGGGGGTCACTTTAAATATGTTTAAATATTCATGTGAACTTTTTTCTTTTGAATTCACAAAATGGAATTAATCATCTAATCTTATTTATTTTAATTAAGGGAGTATTTGTCCATTTTATATTAGTAAATATGTAATTTCATAAGCTTCTCAGAGCACTTTGTTAGTCTGTTATCCAATTGAAAAGGACATACTGGGGGTGGGGAAGGGTGCTGGTTAAGTAAAATGGGAGAGTTTAGGAAGCATATCAAATAAGTGATGCAGTGCATTCATCTGTTTGCTTGTGTGGCAGCTTCTGGTTAATAGGCCTGATGGACAGGTCAAATGTAATCCCCTTTTAACTGTAACTAAGTTTTCCTTTTGAAGGCTACTTTTTCTATACCTTTTTTCCTTGACAAATCATATTTTCTGCTATGATTTCTGATATTGTTAGGATTGACTTGAGCAGATCATCAAGTCCGACCCCCTGCCATGGGCAGGAAAGAATGCTGGAGACAAATGACCCCTGCAAGGTGATTGTCTAGCCTCCTTTTCAAGACCCCCAGGGTAGGGGCCAGCCATCACCACTTCCCTTGGAAGTTGGTTCCAGATCCTAGGTGCCCTGACTGTGAAGTAGTACTTCCTGATGTCTAGCCTGAACCTACTCTCAGTCAATTTGTGGCTGTTGTTCCTAGTTATTCCTGGTAGCACTCAGGGGAACAGGGACTCTCCTGTTACCCACTGGCCCCACCGGTAAGTTTATAGATGGCCACCAGATCCCCTCTCAGCCTTATCTTGTGCAGGCTGAACAGGTTCAGGTCCCGTAGCCTCTCCTCGTAGGGCCTGCCCTGCTGCCCCCTGACCATGTGAGTGGCCCTCCTTTGGACCCTCTCAATGCTGTCCACATCTCTCCTGAAGTGCGGCGCCCAGAACTGGATGCACTACCCCAACTGCGGCCTGACCAATGTTGCATAGAGGAGGAGGATCACCTCCTTGGACCTGCTCATGATGCATGACAAGGTGCAGTTAGCTTTACTCACCGTGTCCTCACATTGATGGCCCATGTTCATCTTGGAATCAATAATGACTCCAAGATCCCTTTCTGCCTCTCTGCTGATGAGAAGGGAGTTCCCCAGCATATTGGTATGCTGCTGGTTCTTTCTCCCTAGGTGCAGTACCTTGCACTTGTCAGTATTGAATCCCATCCTATTCTGATCTGCCCACCCCTGTAACCTGTCCAGATCTAGTTGTAGCCTGTCCCTCCCATCTAGTGTGCCCACCTCTCCCCACATCTTGGTGTCATCCGCAAATTTGAACAAGGTGCTTTTCACCCCCTTACCCATGTCGCTGATGAAGATGTTAAATAGCGTGGGCCCGAGGACTGAGCCCTGGGGAGCCCCACTGCCCACGTCCCTCCAAGTTGAAAATGACCTGTCCACTACCACTCTCTGGGTGCTGCCCTCCAGCCAATTTGTGACCCATCTAACTGTGTAGGCATCGACACCACAATTGCCTAATTTTTTAATGAGAATGGGGTGAGAGACAGTGTCGAAGGCCTTCCTAAAGTCCAGAAAGGCTATGTCCACTGCGACACCTGCATCCAAGGATTTTGTGATGTTGTCATAGAAGGCCACTGGGTTTGTCTGACAGAACCTGCCCCTAATGAACCCATGTTGGTTGCCTCTAAGCATAATCTCCCTTGCTGGTCCATCGCAGATGTGCTCCTGGATAATTTTCTCAAAGAGCTTCCCCAGGACGGAGGTAAGACTAATGGGCCTATAGTTTCTTGGGTCCTCCTTCCTCCCCTTTTTGAAAATAGAGACCACATTGGCCCTTTTCCAGTCCTCTGGCAGCTGGCCAGAGCACCACGAGTGCTCATAAAGCTGTGCCAGGGGTCCCTCAATGACCTCTGCTAATTCCCTCAGCACTCTGGGATGGAGATCATCTGGACCTGCTGATTTAAACATGTCCAGCCCCACCAGAAGTTCCCAAACTAGGTCCTCTCTGACCCTAGGCCTGGCTGTGCCTCTCCTGAGTATGTCTGGGATACTGGTGGGGGGGGATGTCCCGGTCCCTGCTCAGAAAAATGGAGACAAAGAATTTGTTAAAGAGGTCAGCTTTATCGTCTGGTGCAATCACCAGATTGCCAGGCGTGTCCTGCAGGGGCCCCACATTACCCAGTGCTTTCTTTTTATTCCCTGTTTAAAAAAGGACTTCTTGTTATCTTTGATCCTGGTCGCTAGTCCTAGCTCTATCTCCACCTTAGCCTTCCTAACAGCCCCTCTACAGTCTCGAGCAATGGAGGTATAATCCTCCTTGGTAATGGCCCCTCCCTTCCACTGGGTGTATGCCTCATTTTTAGCTTTCAGATATTCCTGAATGCCTTTGGTGAGCCATGGGGGGCTTTTGAGCACTCTTGTCCCCTTTGACTCACATTGGGACTGTCACACTTTGGGCTCGGAGGATCGTCTCAAGGAATGACCACTCGTCTTGGACTCTCAACTCCCCTACCCTCTGGGACCTCAGTGCCTCCCTGACTAATCTCCTTAACTCATTGAAATCGGCTCTCCTGAAGTCAAGGGCTACTGCCTTGCTGCAGGTCTTTGACACCCTGCGCTGGATGGTGAATTCCAGTAGGCTATGATCGCTATTGCCCAGGTGGTCAAGAATCTGCAGTCCCCTCACCAGGTCATCGCCTGTGGCCAGGACCAGGTCCAGCAAGGTATGTATTTTCCTTGGTGGGACTGTGCACCTCCTGGGTTAGGTGGAGGTCCTGTATCTTGGCTAGGAACCTACATGAGTGTCCAGACCTGGCTAACTGCTTCTCCCAGCAGATGTCCAGGTAGTTTAGGTCACCCATAATGGAGGTGTCCCTTGACCTAACTGCCTCCACAAGCTGACCTGAGAAATCCCAGTCCAGCTTTTCCCCCTGGTTGGGTGGTTGATAGTAGACACCCACCGTTAAGTCCCTTTCCCCCTGACCCGCTTGTATTCTGACCCAGAGCACTTCAGTCTGCCCCTCCTCTGACCCTGTGCTGTTTGTTGAGGATGTGTATTGTTCTTTGACAGAGCGCCACACCCCCACTTTTCCTCCCTGTTCTATCCCACCTGAGCAGTCTGTAGCCCTTGGTGTTTACCGCTCAATCATGGGTTGAATCCCACCAGGTTTCAGTGAGCCCCACTATGTCCAGGTTTGCGTTAGCTAGCAGGAGAGCAAGTTCCTCCTGCTTGTTCCCCATACTACAAGCATTAGTGTACAGGCATTTAAGACCTCCTATGGGTGCATGCACCTCCTCCCTGATCCCAGGACTATCCAGCCCCCGGTCACTTACCTGGGTACTTGTGCTCGTTGCCAGTCTTGGCTGATCCAATAAAATATATCACCCCACAAAACATCCTTGTCTCTTCCTTATTTCCTGGACTGGCATGCCTACAACATCACTCCAGCACTGCTTAACTCTCTTGCCAGGATTACCTGCCATAAGATAGCTCTACTCTCCAGCTTTGCCAACATCCTTCATCTTTTCAATTAATGGAGAATTTGAGTCATTCTGCAGGAAGAGAAGCACCCTAGCAGTGTAGGGATAGGACCTTGCAGGCAAAGTCCATAGCATCCCAGGAAAAAACCTTGTTCCCTAAGGTGACAAACATATAAAGTTCCTCATCTCTTTCCTACTCCAATTACAGGCCCAAACAATTGCAGTGAGAATGCTCCTCACAGTACTATAAGGAAAGGATAGCAGATAAGCAGAGGGAAACAGGGTAGGGGCAGAAAGGGTCTTTCCATTGGAGTATTCATCTGTCATTTGAGAGAGGAGCCATTCCTCATCTAGTGTGACTGTATATCCTCTCAGTGTTCTTCAGTATTTTATCCCCAGGGCCTGAATTGGTTTGGTTTGGTTTGGACAACTGGTACCTTCTATTGAAACTGTTATCTTGTGACCATGAATTTATGTTATATTTTTATGTAAATCTAGCCATTATGATAATAAAGTAACCCATTCAAAAGGTAAGCTGACTGTAATCATCTAGGTAGCGTTTGTGTAATTATGCAGATAGCCTGAAACGATTGCTTTGGGAAATGCAAAGTCTGTCCCACTCAGCATTATTTTTGGAAGCAAACGGGAGAGGCATTATTCAAATATCCCATGCTAGTTTTTTTTAAACCAATGCTGCTAACTATTCCACTATTGACCAAAGTAGGTAAGAGGAAAGACAAGATCATATTGTGAAAAGTTGCACAGCCTTTTGGGAGCAACAGCATGTTTGTGCTGTCACAGTTGGATAGTGCTTGGGAGAGAAGCTTACTTTTCTCAAATCTGACCAGTAGAGCCAAATGGCCAGAGGAAAGCAAAAAAGCCGTTGGGACAACTGCACTGAGTCAAGGTTGAGCCATCCTGAAGAGCCCAGGAGGGCATGCAAATACCCCATCATCACTGGCTCTGCATCCCCCTTCTTAGGTCCAGAGTAATGATGCCCTGTTCTCTTCTGTGGAATGTGTGTCACCAGGTGACTTCCACTCTGACTCTTATATTTTGCTATTTCTCCTTTTGCTGGAGGCTGGCTGCAGACTTGGACAAACATCTTTGCATAGGTTATGTTCAGTTCATGGTTTTCAAACTTTCCCTTGCAGCTTTCCATGTCACCTCCTCAGCCTGTTTCTCTCTAGTTTTTCTGTGCTGGCTTAGGTAAAGATGTGGGAATGGCATCTCTCTCCATTCAGTTTATACTATCAGTGTTGGCACTGAACTGTGGTTATTGGCATCGAACTGCAATGTACTGAAGAAGATATCCAGTTTTTCCTAATGTTAACAAAATTTAAGGAAATAATGTTCAGAGAACTAGGTGTTCAGACTGAACTGCAGAACTGCCTGAATAGACAGGAGTGTAGCTTTCACGGAGTTCCAACTTTCTTAATAATGCCCACAGAACCTAATTAAGATCTCAGTGATCGTGGGTAAAAAGCCTTTTTGCTGTTACATCAAGGTAGATTCTCCAGAAATTAAGACAACTGAATGGTAGGGATCGGCCTTAAACTTCTCTGCTCCTGCTTTAGACTATCAGCCAGCACTACAGAAATCTGGACAGTGTTAATCACTATCACTAAAGTTACCTTTAAACCCCTAAAGCAGAACTTACGTTAAAAAAAAAGCTGAAATTCTGCGGCAAGAGGGGAGCACTCTCAGTTTAATAGCGTGCTCATCCTCCTACTTCGTTTATTCTCCTTGACAATGTTTCCTAATTCTTTCTGTTAGAATCATCTAAATATTTGCATTAAACCCAATTTCCAATCAGTCATGAAGCAGAACCCACCCCCAGCTTCTTTACAGCACTATTTATCAACTCTTTTGCCTGCTTGCGGCAGACCAAGAGCATCTGTGAAATAACTGTATGTGACTTGGTCAGTGAGATAAAGTGAGAAACAGTCTATATAGTTAGGCTAAATTAATATAATTTCCTATATGGCAGTGTGCAAAGATAATAGCAACAGCACAAGTAGGTTGTATTTGAAAAAAACAGGATCAGAAGGACAGTTAGCCTAGAAAAAACATGATGTTTCCATTTCATCCTGCTCACCTATGAGGCAATTTGAATTAATTCCAGGGGACTTTCAGTGCCAACATTCACAGTCTTGGTAAAGCTCTAGATGACCAAAGCAGATGAGCATGTGTCTAAATCTAACTGACAGCAGTGAGATTTAAGCACATATCTTGGAGTTCTGCTGAATGAGCCAGCTTCATAGCAAGCTCCTGGACATGAATATGTGTTCTTGTGTGACCTAGAATCCTCCCCGTTCCATGTTATTTGCACTATACTGTCATAAAGGCATTCCTCTCAGCCTCCATCGTCTGCCAACGTGGGTGGATCCACGAGCTTGAAAAGAAGGTGGTTGCAAGTGATGTGACTGGTGCTGCAGCAGTGGCTGCAGTCCCGTTCCCCAACCCCCTCCCTACAGGCAAATTGTGCCATGCCTGCAGCTCATAGATTCATAAATTGTAAGGCCAGAAGGGACCATGGAAGATCATCGGGTCCAGCCCCCTGTACCAAGCAGGGGACTTTTTTCAGTCCCTGAACCAGGTAAGATTCCCCTACTCCACTCCAGGCACCCCCACCCCTCTGGTGTTAAGTGGCAAATCTCCTCCCCTCCCGTTCTCCCATCTTCTTCCTCCCCAGCAGAGGTTACTTCCGGTCATAGGAAGGAGGGACCCATCCAATGCCATCACTGTCCCTGGCTGACCTGGGAGTGTGGGAAGTCCCAGAGCTGCTTCTGACCCACTTCAAACAGGGTTGTGGTAAGCAGCTGCACAGCCAACTTCAGCCAAGGACAGCAGCAATGGGAGGGTCCCCCTTTCCAGTGCCTGCCCCCTGCCAGGTGTCACCCCCCCCCCCCCCAAAGTGTTCCCCTGCTGGCCAGAAGCAAGTGCTGGAAGGTGAGGGGGATGGACCACTTACTGCCACAGTCATCCCTGGGCCCCCCATGGTGCCCTCTGCACAGCCCATGCTGGCAGGGGAACCCTGGGAGGGCAGGAAGGAGCAAGGACCCACACACTGCTGCTACTACTATGAAGACTGACACACTATGAAGCCACTCCCAGAGCCTCTAGCCAAATCAGGACCGGAACAGCTTGGGGCTTCCTCCATGCCCAGTCAACTGGGGAGAGTGGCAATGGTGGGCCTCTTCCTCACCCATTTTCTGCTTTGTTCCCCCTTGTATTCTCTATCAGCCACACCTTGGACTCTGCAGGGGACCCAGGCATCTGTGGGGAACTAGAGCTGCTGGCATGTGAACTACACTGCTGAAGAGGGATGAGACTGCACCACTGTATGCCCCCTTCCCCCCGTAGTTCTGCCCCTGCCTGCCAAAGATCTACCTTCAGTCTTTTCAATCTGCTCCTACCTTCATGGGCAAGGTTTTCACCCTCTGTTTCCCAGGTGGACTACAAAACAGGACCAGAAGGAGATGCAACTTGCAGAAGAGAAAGGATGGTTCCTGCTAGAGAGGGTCCTAACATTCCAGAGTCCAGATGCAGCCATTACGACTGTCATTTTAGGCACATTATTTTGTCAAAAATACAGTATACCCGAGACCTCAGCTACTTCCATTCATATAGATGGAAAATAGCCAGCCTCCTAAGGCTTAGTTATTCCTATAGCCTTTCAAATACTTCACTAAAATTTGCTGCCTACTGCATTCACCCCCACATACCATTCATTACCTTTGCATCTTTCTGAAACATTTTTGATAGAATTGCAGAAATACCAGAAAGTACCAAAAGTGTTTGACTTTTTCACATGTACATTCACAAAAGTATTATTAATTTCTTGGATTTAACTTCAGTTGAAGATGGTGGTAGTGGGAGTAAATAGCATATATTACGTTCTTTTGCAGAACTAGGATTTAAATCATTTATGTAAGCCTAGTTTACATCTAAGCACTATTTTTCTTGATGGCTGTATAGCAAGCATAGACAGACATCTATTCAGATATGTATTCTACCTATTCAAATACTGTAAAGCAAATTTTTAAATCATTGTGACTTATTTTACAAGTAACTATTTTTGAATACAGGACTTGGAGCTCAATTTTACTGAGAGCTATGTACATACCATGCCTGAATTAAAAAAAACTAATTTGGTTCAGTTGTGTATACTCAAAGAATCTTAATTGATAAATCAAATCACTAGATAGATTTCTCTCCCTGCCCCCCAAAAGTGTTTCTTTTGGGAGACTTATCATGAAGCTGTCTTTATAGTCACCCTTTAGTATAATATTTTAGATTATAATATCATACCACTCCTTATGACTATTTCAGGCTCTTTCATAATCTCAGTGGGCAGGACCAGAACCATAAAATCCTAAATTATTTGATAAGCTAACTAATGTACCCCAAAACACAGTCATGAACACAGGATGTTCATAAGTACATCACATGCACTTAATTTTAAGCAAGGGTACTACTCTAAGACAGCAAATAACTTGGGCTGAAACAACAGGAGAAAAATGAAGTGGATTTGATTTATAAACCAATTTATTTTATTGTTTTAGTTTAAGTTCAATTGAACATTAACAGACTTCACTGGTTTCAATTTTTTGTCTTATGTGGAAATGTGCATGGCACTTCATCTTGAACATGTTTCAGTTTTCTGAAGTTTGTGTGAATTGTAGAATGAGTTGAGAACCTCATCCATACTACTGTGACACGTGAAAAAAGCTGGTGAAAAAATACTGGTTGAGAATCTATAACCTGGTGCTTACAGAGTACAAGGCCAAATAAACTTAGTATTTGCAAATATTCTTTCTTCTTAAATATAGTTTTGCAGGAGCAGCATGTTTTTCATCCATGTGCTGTGTATGCTATGATGCTGCTGAGTGGCTAGAAGCATTTACTGAAGTAAGTACAAACAAGTATTTGAAGATTGCCACTTTGAATAAATTCAGTGTTCACATTATCAGAATCTGAACCAGTGTGCAAATCAACTGGTCTTCAAGAAATGCATTCTAAACATTGGAACAATACTTTATTGGGCATTTGGCAGGATATTAACTTTAATATATATGTATACATATACACATGTAGGTTGAAACAAATGTATGAGGAATTTTCATACAAAATATAATTGTGATCTAGTGGACAACCATTAAATAACCTTATGCATCCTTATCTCTGAAGTGGATTTGCCTCGTAACCTCCATTCTTAGTTTCCCTAGGAAATATGTTGTTGCCCATTAAATCACAAGTAATATATTACAAAATAGATCTGGAACAATTGAACCAAGTGGTTTTGTTTACTTTAGACAAATTTCTTGATCTCATCATACAATACTAATACGAAAGCACCTCCCATGCCTCTCAGCACGTTGGACCAGGCACCCTTGAAGAAAGCTCTGGGTCCTTCATCTTTAGCTATCTTCTTCCAGCAATCAATTGTGCCCTTGTACATGATGTCAGCTATGGAAACATAAGTGTACAGGTAAGAGACTCTTGAATCATACAAGCAATTCAGTTTCAGGTCTGTTTTACTAAAAACATTTTTAATGATATTAATAAAATAAGAATTTAAAATAGATAAGCGGCCCCAGTAAAGTACTTTTAATTCTCAGAACAAAAAGTCATCAATAGATTCATCACTAAGAAGTTATTTCAGCCAGCTTAGGCCAGTAAAATAGAAGACCGCTGGTTTTCTAGATGTAGACTTCCATGTCCCAATCATAAGGTAACCCTTACAGCAATGATGGTACAAGAGAAAGCTTGTCCTTACCTCCCTTTCTGCCAGACTGCATCATCATCCTACGTCGGACAGTGTCAAAGGGGTAGGAAACCAGCCCTGCTACAGCAGTGACAGACTGGGCGATCATCCAGCTCACTATGATATGCACATTCTTGGGATCAGGCATCATACCTGTCATCAAGGGCAAGTTGGCAAGGTCAATACAGAAAAGTTGGGGTGGGGGGAAGAGAAAGAAAAAAAAAAAAATCAACGCACCCTGGGACTCCTAACCCAGACTCCATTCATTCACAGAGCCTTATCAATGGCAAGTCAGTAGAACTTCTTTTGAAACCTGTACCTTCTGTTATGTCCCAGGCAGTAGCAATACAACTGCCAGCCAGTAAGAGAGTGCCAATCAAAAGTTAGGGACATAACCTTGACTGCAACAGTTGCAGATCTGTTCTAGACTTGTTCTGTAAGGATTTAGCCTTATTGCATACAAGCCAACTATACAACCCTAAAAGGGGTGCAGGGACTGGAACACTACCAACAACTTTATCGGAGGCTCCTAAAACTCTCATCTGAGTGTTCGCTCTGGAGGGAAAGGTCCGAATATCTGAAGTGGCAACTGACTCCCCAGCCCAGCCCCTGGCTTCTTTACTTTTCATTCCATCCAGGAAGAGCACACACCAACTGCTGAAACTTCCTTAGCCTGATGAAGGGTTTTTGAACCCGAAAGCTTGCTTAATAACTATTCTCCAACCATTTGGGTTGCTCTAATAAAAGATATCAAATTCACCCAAGGAACCTTGTCTGAAGTGTGCTGTAGCACTTCAAATCTGAGACTATAAACTTGAGCAAAGCTGCAGTGTAGCTAAGTCCTGATGGCCCAAGCAGGAATATTTATCTGCTAGATCCCTCCTCTGAAGTCACTGCTCCCTGCTCTTACCCTTGGCTGTGTCATAGACCCCAAAATAGGCTGCTCTGTAGATAATGATGCCCTGGACTGACACGTTGAATCCTTGATAGAGGCCCCTCAAGCCATCAGATTTGAAAATCTTGGCAATGCAGTTGCCCAGGCCAGTGAACTCTCTCTCGCTCAACCCTTTGCCCACATCAGCTGCCAGCCTGGTCCTGGCAAAATCCAGCGGGTAGACAAAGCAGAGGGAAGTGGCTCCTGCAGCACCTCCAGAGGCCAGGTTTCCAGCAAAGTAACGCCAAAACTGCTTGTGCCTGTCCACTCCCCCCAGGAAAATCTGCTTGTACTTGTCCTTGAAGGCAAAGTTGAGGGCCTGAGTGGGGAAGTAACGGATGACATTGGCAAGGTTGCCTCTCCAGAAGGAAATGATGCCTTGTTCCTTGGGGATCCTTACGACACAGTCAATGATCCCTTTGTATTGCTTCTCAACTGTGATCTGTTTGCTGGCATGCTGGACCTGTAAGGGGAGGAAAAGAATGGCAGAGATGGATATTGAAGCAAGCAGTCAAGCACACACCAGGTTGTTAAGGCGGTGATTCTCAGCAGGGTGCCTGGCTCAGGCTTCTCCCTGTCTGCTTTGTTCCCCAACCCCACTGCTGGACCCCTCTGCAAGGATCTAAGCACTGTAAAATATCATTTGAAACTGGGTGCTACTCAATTCACAAAAGTTATGGAGGGTGCCTTGAGTCCAGTGAGGGTTGCCTTGAGCCCATAAAAGTTGAGAGCCACTAGGCTAAGGAAAGGAATAGGGCATGTGCTTTTCATTTCAGAGTAGAGAATCTGAAAGATGGCAGAAAAGGTACAGGCATCTGTCACTGAAGAAGAAAACAGCCAACACTTGTGTGTAGATAGGCAGACAAGTGCTTTATGCAGTCTTACCCAAGGCTGACCAATGCTATGTTAAAGCACAGGGCCTGCTACAAACGTTTTGCCAACAAGGCACCTGCCTGCAGAATTGGAAGCCGGACCAGGCTACCAAACTACCCATCCAAGAGAAGCTCCTTGGAAAAAGAGGCTCATCAGGCACGTGGATGTTAGATGGCCTCCAGCGCTCCCGCCTGCGTCCAGGCCCAAGTGAGGGGGGAGGGGGGAGGACAGGTGAAGGGCACTTGTGACTATAGTTGCCCTCTGCAGAGCGGATCCATTGCGGCCCTCCTGAAGTGCTTCAGGAAAGCTCGGACCTGGAAACACACCTCTGCCCAGACAGACAGCCCTGAGAAAAGGCCCTCCATCATGAAAGCTCACGTAGGTTCAAACTGCCCGCAGGAGCTGGGGAAGGGCAGTGCCAGCCCCCAAAGCTTTTCCCAGTCTCCCAAACCGGTGGCTGGTCTGAAGAGCCAGGGAAGGGCACTGCCACCCCCAAAGCATGTCCCAGACTCCCTCAACCAGGCAGCTAGTCCGGAGAGCCGGGGAGGGGCACTGCCGCCCCCAAGCTTGTCCAAGTCTCTCCCAACCAGGCGGCTGGTCTAGAGCCAGGGAAGGGCACTGCCACCCCCCAAAGAGTGTCCCAGTCTCTCCCAAACAGGCGGCTGGTTACCCCTCCACCGCAGGGACCCTTGCCCAGGCCTCCGAGTCCAGCTGCGGTTCCAGGCAGGCGACGGGAGCCGTTCCCCTCCCTGCCCCCGCCTGTAACCAGACCCGGGCAGGCGCTGCCCATATTTAGTCACCCTTAGCCTGCGCCCGGGGATGCTGGGCCGGCGCCCGCAGGGGCAGCTCCCCGGCCCCGGCCCCCCGCGGGCAGCTCGCGGAGGGCGCGCAGTGGCGCTCTGCGCGCGCAGCAGCAGCCCGGCGGTCCCGCCGCTCACCTGCAGCAGCAGCTTGACCCGCTCCGCGGGGGCCGGCG